GAAAGAGACATGTCTTTGCATGTCAGGATGTTTCTATAATCTATCTTTATAAATTGTAAATGTAATATGTATAGTTTTATATATAGAAATATTCTGTAAATAAAAATAGCAAAATAATTGAGAGACGACGTTGAAATCTATTGAATGAATAGCGCACAATATATTAAAAAGAAGAGTTAAAAACTGGTAGTTTACGTTCTTTGTATTCTAAATAATAATAAAGATATTCGATGCTCTAACAATTCAGAATTTTCAATTGTTGAAATTTGACAGACATTCTTTTTTTACAATTTTTAATTCAAGAATCATAATTTTAAATTAGGTTTACAATTAAACATATTTCAAAAAGATAACCTTCAAACTTCTTAATCTTGATGATACATACAAACTTAGTGTTCTGACATTTATGCATATAGTAAATACCCTACTCCATAAACTGCTCTCAGACTAGTATCTATCCAGGTACAATTCAGTTCTACTTTGCTATCTATGTCTAAACCCAGTTACATTCTTGTAACTTATCAATGGTAAACTAACGGACACTAGCTCGTATTCTATCAACGCCAAACCAATGGGCACCATCTTTGAGCTATCAATGTCAACAAGGACACTAGCAATTAATCTATGAATGCCAAACTATGGGCGCGATCTCTTAAGCTATCAATGTCAACCGGACACTAGCTCGAACTCTATCAACACCAAACCTAGCTATGGGCTCAATCTCAGCTCATATGTTTCAACAAGAACATTTCTCTCTTGGCAGAAATCAAATCGGAGTCTCTATATCAACTGTTATATGAGGTTTATATGTTACAAGTTAAAGTTGACTTAATTACAATTCCTATGTCGTTATCTATATCACATGATTAAGACAATCATGTTACGTATTTACAGGTCAGTTAAAATAGGCGCAATTAAGATGTACATTATTATATATCACATGATTAAGCTAATTATGCTACATATTCATTTGAAGCGCAGTTCAAATGAATAATGTATTCTTTCTTTAATAATATCTTCAAAGTCACACATCTCATCATACACATCCTCGGTTGCTTTCCCAGTTTTAACTACTCCCTGTAGATTATCCATGTGCTGTTGTTTCTCATACATCTTCTTATTCTGCTACGACATTGCTTTCACTCTTTGAATCTATTTCAATATTTTCAACTCTTCATCTCTTTTCTGACCTTGCAACTCCATTTGTACTACTCTCTGCAACAGGGCTTCCAATTCCTTGTGTTGAAGGTTTCCATCCTCTCTTCCGGTTTCCTTCATGTCTGGTATTTAGATATCCAATCTTTTACTAAAACTGTCCACTGTTACACTCTGGTAGGCTATACATTCTGGTACTCTGTATGCTCTGGTAACACTTCCAATTTGTTGCTACACTGTTACTGTTCTTCTGACACAGTTTAAAACAGGTAATACTATACAATTCTTCCTTGGAGTCTGTGGCATTTATCTAGGGTTCCTTGATACTCGCCGCTGCTATCACTTTTGTAGTAAATGCCCTACTCCAAAAGAGTCTCTCAGACCCGTATCAATCCAGGTACAACTCAATCCCTCTCATTGGTCTACAAGGCATAATAGCTAATCAGTTCAACAACATTTTATTATCAATGTCAACATGGACACAATCTTGTAAACTATCAATGTCAACACCGACACCATCCCATAAACTATCAATGTCAACACGAACACAATCTCGTAAACTATTAATGCCAACACGGACACAATCTCGTAATCTATCAATGCCAACACGGACACAATCTCAACAACTTTTGCTAAACAAGGAACAATTACTCCTCTCGCTGTAATCAAAGTGGATATATATTGGCATATTTACAGACAATGTACAACGTAATATATCAAGGTATGTTCAGGTTAATAAATATAGGGATTTCTACGATATTTGCTAAACCATGACCTCCTAAAATACCCCATTTTGCCACAGTACATGGACCAAATTAAATTGTTCCATCCGGAGAAAGGTTAGATTAGTTCCATCCTATATATCCAGATTAGTTCCATCCTATATGTCCTAAAAAATAAATACATTAAACTATTTTATATAATAAAAAATTTGAATAGTGTTCTAGTGTGTTGTATGTATTGTTAAACTATAAAAGTAGAAATTCTACCAGGTGGTATTTTCCCAGGGAACATTCATGCATTGGAAACTAGTTTTGCAAATAGACACCCTTTGCAACATAGAAACTAGTTAAGTAACATGGAAACTAGTTTAGTAACATAGAAACTAGTTTAGTAACATAGAAACTAGTTTAGTAACATATGGAAACTAGTTTAGTAACATAGAAACTAGTTTAGTAACATGGAAACTAGTTTAGTAACATAGAAACTAGTTTAGTAACATAGAAACTAGTTTAGTAACATANTCCCATCCCTTCCCATCCCTTCCCATCCCTTCCCATCCCTTCCCATCCCTTCCCATCCCTTCCCATCCCTTCCCATCCCTTCCCATCCCTTCCCATCCCTTCCCATCCCTTCCCATCCCTTCCCATCCCTTCCCATCCCTTCCCATCCCTTCCCATCCCTTCCCATCCCTTCCCATCCCTTCCCATCCCTTCCCATCCCTTCCCATCCCTTCCCATCCCTTCCCATCCCTTCCCATCCCTTCCCATCCCTTCCCATCCCTTCCCATCCCTTCCCATCCCTTCCCATCCCTTCCCATCCCTTCCCATCCCTTCCCATCCCTTCCCATACCTTCCCATCCCTTCTTTTATTCTACCAACTTTAGTTTTCAGTCATTCCTTAGTTTTGGAGAAAATGTGCGAAATTAAAATAAACAATCAACATATTTTAATAATACTCTCTTTTATGCGTATTTTCCTAAAAAAAATAACTTAGATATTTTTACCTATCTCAAAAGTTAATATTATAAAAAGAATTTTAAAGAAAACTAAAAATCATCTAAACGATTTTTATAAAGAATAAAATTACGGATTTCTTGATTTAATTTCGCTTAATTTCTCCGAAACTACACATCTGATCTGTTCAAGAATTTAAGGTGTGATAGAAACAGTATATTCCCGCACTTTTATTTTACTACTCATTTAATTTTGAGTAAAAAATAGTTTCACGGAATTTTTAAAAGGGTCTATCAGTTTCCCTTTCAAAAAAAAAATTATAAACTTAATTATTGAAAATGAGATTACCAAAAAGAAATACTTTATTATATGCAAGATATCGCTATTCACCATTTTTTTTGATATACAAATACAAATATACAAACGATGAACTTCCGCATATTTCCTATATAGTATATATATATATATACTATATATATATACATAAATATTTACTGTAGAGGAGTAAAGGAATATTTCTTATCTGTTGGATACAGACCTAAGAGGTTGCGGATGCATTACTGAGTATACAATCATACAGCGTTACCCACAAAGAATGAGAGTTTAGAGGCGACTGTACTGTATGATTCATTATATTCATAATTACGGTCAACTTTAAACTTCTTTCTTTTATTGCGAAACAATTAAATAAGCTATTTAAGGCACAGCACTTAATTTAAACATTTTTTTTTAAGATGATTTTTAAAAATGCTTCCTCTACCGCTGCCTGCATTTTTTATTCTAATTTTCATTTTACAGGTAAAAAAACTATTTTTAGAAAAGAGAAAGAAAAAACGAATTTAATTCACAAAAAGAGTGTTCATAGTTGTTTCGGGGGTGGGGTATAGGGTTGGTCGATTTACATATTTTTTTTATTTGCAACCTAGAGGGGCAGTTGGCAAAGTTGATCAGAACTATTTTAAACCCTCTGGTAGCTTCAGACTTTTTTTCTCAACGCCATTGTTGCAAAAAAAAGGTCACTAGTAAGACCGAAAAGCAATTTATTAAACCAATAAAAGGCAAAAAACAGTTTTTTTTTAATTTGCCGCAAAATCAAACAATTTAATACATATATAAAAAAAATATGATCAGAGCCGGCGATTTAAAAAAATCAAGGAATTACGACTCAGGTCTAGCTAAGCTGTTATTGGGCCTTATTTACGGCTTGAGCTTTTGGATTCAAGCTGCATCTTATTTTCCACAGAGTTGAGTTCAAAAAACCGGTTTAATATTCATGGTATGGTAATTTCATGGTAGGATTTGGCGCATTCAGGGTTTTAATGAGAACAAGACTCAACATTGAGCCTTATTCTCCAATAAAACCAACCAAGGTCGGTTTTATTTTAATATTGGGCCTAACTCCCCAAGTCGAGTCTGAGATCTCGCAGCAATTACGTGACACAAATTGTCGTCAGAGTTGAGTCTATTGAATCTTAAAGCTGGGTTTAAGAAAATACGACCCGAGCCGAAGCTTTTAAATCGCAGGCTCAGTATTCAGCAGCTTGAGATGCATCTTTTGATTCCCATATCCATATATTTTTTTTAAATCGGTTTTACCATTGACTTTTTTTCAGAAAATCACTAGGCCCTTGGTTCCAACATCGAGGAGGGGGGATACCTATTACAATCTTTAATCCTTTGAGAATTTTGCTTAACAACTAAATTACAATAACAATAAATATTTTAAAAAGAAATTAAAGAAGTAAAGCAAACATTTTGTGGGGGCCAGACCTTTTAATGCCATGCTTTTTGATACTTTTCTCAAAATCATTTATTTTCATAAAAGTTTCAATTGGTGAAGAAATATTAAAGTTCAGAGAACTATTTTTTGTATTTAAAGTTGAATATTGAAGGTTGAATCTAAACCTGGTATTGGAGCATTCAGGGTGGACGGAGGGGAATTAAGGATAGTTAATGGTTCTCTTCTCCTACATACAGATGGAACTGATCTACAGTTATATTGTAACCTACAGGTAAATAAAGGGGGGGAGGAGAACTAGGGATAGTTAATGGTTCTCTCTTCTTACATACACATGGAACTGATCTACAGCTATATTGTAACCTACAAGTAAATAAAGGGGGGAGGAGAACTAGGGATAGTTAATGGTTCATTTCTCCTACATACAGATGGAACTGATCTACAGTTATATTATAACCAACAGGTAAATAAAGGGGGAGGGAGGAGAACTAGGGATAGTTAATGGTTCTTTTCTCCTACATACAGATGGAACTGGTAACCTACAGGTAAATAATGAAAGTGGAAAAAAGGAAGAAAATAAAAAAGATATGGAAAACTAAAGAGAAAAAAGGATAAACGTAAAGTTTAAATATTGAAATTTATTTTTGGGATTTAAGAATTGTCTGAAAGACTGACATGTAGGGATGGAAATTTGATGAAAATTGTCAAAATTTGTCACCTTAAATCCTTTGCATCAGATTCTCGGAATAGAGAGAGAAAGAATCTCAGATTTAAAATCCTCACAATGGAATAATTTCATTTTTTATTCATCAACAAAGGGTGTGAGCAAATCATATATAACCAATCGAGCCCGCCTAACCCGAGCAGGTTGTTTTGATTGGTTTCATGTACAGTCCCTTTAACTTGTATTTTCTTTTATATTTGGTTAGACAAAGTTTGAAAGTGTATATTTACATATGTTCTATATAGTTGATAAAGTTATTCAACTTAAAGGAAGTGTTCGCGAAAAATGAAAGGGGGTATAGGCTTATATGCGATAAAAAGCGCTTTTGATCGCTACTAATCTTACTTCTATCTGCTGCGTCTATAAGGAGAAAATTGTTAAAAACGACTCACACCGAAGAATGTAGTGTCCACACAAATTCAAAAGATGCAACATTCAATTCGGATCGTAAACAAATTAATTTAATTCCAACAAATCATTCAGATATTACAAACAATAGTCATCGATTATTTTTCGACGCATTCGTATATAGTTAATATTTCATAAAATTAGTAGCGATCAAAAGCGCTTTTTTATCACATTAAGCCTATACCCCCTTTCATTTTTCGCGAACACTCCCTTTAAAAAAGATAGAACAGAAAAGCTATCTCAACCTGTATGGTGTTTTTTTAAGGAGGAGGCCTGGAATGCCTGCATTTGGTATAGGTAATATTTTTTGAATATTTTCTTGTTCTCTGGAAATTATCTTTATAATATCTGATTTATCTGATTAAAACACAGATTTTCCAATTTTATTGGGTTACATTTTATTGCTGTGGAAATAACATGAGTAAGATTTATTATATGTTGCCAAAAATGCAAAAACAATTTTTTCGTGATTTACAGAAATAGTTGGTAAAAAATCATACGTACAATATAATGTTTAATGGGTTAAAAACAAATAAAAATAAAATATTTTGTAGAACGAAATAAAAAAAATAATAAGAATATATAAAAAGGTGTGAGTGTAATATATAATAATATATAATATGTAATTAATACGTTTAGGCCGAATAGCTCTCAGAACTGCGTTATAGCTTCACAGTTAGAGAGGTAATTAGTTAACTATTTTAGTTCATTCTTAATTAGGTAATTTATTGATTATTTGGTTGATTTGTAATTTTGTTAAAGAAATTTTAAAGAAATTGAGTCTTTGCCACAAATTCAAATTTTCTAATTCCAATATTTTTGCGAACTGATAGTGTAAACCTTAGATATTTCAAACTTTTTTATTCAAGATTATTTGATCTAACAGAATTTATAGTTTGAAGTATCTAAGGTATACGACATTGGGTTGTATAGATATTGGGATTAAAACATCAGGGTTTGTGGCAAAGAGTCAATTTCTTTGTTGGAAAAAAATATATAATTTTTATAACTTGAACATCAAACTGTTTTCCAAAATTCCCCTTATGGACATATTTTCAAATTTTCTAATTGCAGCCCTCGGATTTTTAACTTAGTCTTTACATTAATATCTTGAAAATAATAAAATGTTCATTCAAAAGTTTCCATCGTTTTTGCTATTCAAAAATCTAACTTTAAGCGTAATTTAAAGTGACTCTCCATACAAGATGGCATTTCCCGATTTACAACGGTAACCGTAAAGGATATCCATGTTTTTGGTTTGGAAAACTGTTATTTTTATTTCTGGTTTCTCTGCAAAAGTTTCTTGTTTATAAGAAAGACTATAGAAATTATAAAAATAAAAACGCTTTAATTTCGAGTCAGAAAAACGACAATATCTTTCACATTTTTGATTAGATTAGGCTTTTAAATTGTAAATTGGACTTTTCTAAATCTTTGCATGGAGGGTCACTTAAAACTACGCTTACAGTCCCTTTAAACAATAATATCTTGGAACATTTTAAAATTAGACTGAATTAGGAATTCTGAAGGTGAATTCAGTGAGAGTTTCTTATTTACAATACTTCCTTTTCTCTTTGATTTTTCTTTTTCTATTATTTCTTGGTTTGACAGAACAATGTGAATTAATTCAATTAGAATTTCAATTAATCTTTAATAATTCTCTTTTTATTGAACAATGTAAAAAGAAGTTAAAAGAATAATGAATTCTCTAAGAGAATGGAAAGTTTCTAAAAAGTTGTTTTGTCAGTCCAAACTTGAAACTTGAAACAAATGATTGTAAGATCTCTTTTCTTAACTTCGTTTAAAGGGACTGTAAACTTAATCTCAAGTGATCCTAAGCTCGAGGCTGTCATTGTACCCTTGAAAGCTTTTTCTGATCAAGTATGTATCAGAAATACATGTTTCGTTTAGAAAACTGTTTTTTTTCTCATTTGTGGCTTTTCTGCAAAAATGACTTTCACATTTCTTGCTTTTAAAATAAAGGAATAAAGGAAGAATTGTAAGAACAAAATATTTCAAAACCACAATGTGATGAGGTCAAAGTTAAATTGAAGGGTCAAGTAACAGTATGACAAGAATCCCTTTAATTGATGAACTTTATAAAGTTACGATTAATTTAAATTATGAAATTGTGAAATTTAGATTAAATACTGTAGAAGACATCACTTCATTTTTTGTTTTCTATTCTTACATGTGTACTTTATTATTTTTAAGTTAATAGAGACAATACCTTCAAAATATCTCCAGATATGAATTTGGCTTGCATGTCCGTTACACGGGCAGCGGTAGTACATTTGAATTTCCGAGCTGGGTCAACCTTTCCGGTCCCAGTTTGTACTGTACCTAACTCCATGGACTAGCTGGTGGAAAAAGATTTTATGCTTCATATAGGTTGAATTTATTTTTACTAAAGGGGCAGATTTGCGTGGTTAGGGTGCATATTTGTATCAAAAAAAAAACTTACATATCCCCTAAGAAGGTTTTAAGCTGGTCAAATGTTCAAATTTAACAATGTAAAAAATATCCGTACAATTTAAAGTTTAACACATTAAATATAGAACACTAGAATGAATAAAAAAAACGATGAATTTTGGCTAAGAAAACTCTTGGTTGTTAACTATTATAAACTATTATTTTACGATAAAAAAAATTTAAATTTCTTGTTTCAAGATCTAAAACTTTTGTTTCTCGTTCCATGATTAACCAGTATTAACACTTAACACATATTTATACTAATCAAAGAACAACTTTAAAAGCGTATATTAACCTTAATGAATTTCAAAAATTAAATGTGTGTCATTGAAAAAATTCAAAGAATGCAGATAATCCAAATAAAAACTAAAAAAAGAACAATCATTAGAACAAAGGAGTCCTTCTCACAAACTCTTATTACCTAATCATTATATCTTTGCAACCCAATATTGTTATAGACCTTAGATATTTCAGAATACAAATTGTGTTAGATCAAATAATTTAACTCTGAAATATCAAAGGTCTTCACCATCAGGTTGCAAAATAATAGGGATTAGAAAATTTGATTTTCTGGCAGACTCAATTTCCTTTAAGATTTTAAAAATAGTTTTTAAAGTTCATTAATTTTTATGTAGGGAGAAGTATTGTAAATCTGGACCAGATGAATCTAAATGGTCTATATCTAAGAACGAGAATAATTCCTGCATTATATCAATCAAACAAACAAATATACGAGGAAATATTCTTAGAATGTAAAAAAGTTTTAGACGTCTTTTACAGTGAGCATCAGAAAGCTGTGTACTGCCTGAAGGAACTGTAGACGTAATTTCAATATCCTCTATGCAAAGACACATGGAGTTTGTTTACATTCAGAATCTAAAAATATTTTGTTTGGAAAAATACGTACGAGTAGTTGGGCCGGTGCATTAAGATTTCATTGTACCGGTCCGAATTTCTATCTATCTATCTTTCTTCAAATCATTATATTTCCAATTTGGCCCTAAGTGTTAAGATGACAATGCCATATCCGCAATCTTTATTTGATAAAGTATGAATTATATATGATTGACAATATAATTTTGAACACTCATTATTATTAATTGTTCCGTACAAAGTTTACAACCGCAGGCAAACTAGAATTTTCATAATACAAAATAAAACCTCTAAAAACTACGTTAATATCTTCCACATTTACGATCGGATAAAGGTTTAAAGGATACCCTTGTGAATCGGGCTTTGTCATTTTTGCATACAGGATTGTTTGAAATAACGCTTTAAATCCCAATAAGAAATGGCAAAAATTACTTTGTAATTTGCTATTGTTTCAACTGATCTTTAAATAATGTTCAGGGCCACTTATTTAAGAAATGAATTGGTTGAAATTACAAAATCTTTGGCGAAATTTCATAATTAGAAGGAATAGCAGACGACGACAAAATTGAGGCTTATTTCTGGTTCTCACTGTATCAAATTTAAAATGATGATAATATTATTATTTTCCTCAAAATAATTAGAAATAGAAAACAAGAAATGTTGTGGAAAAATGAAGATTATCTGAGCTGAGCTGAAAACTTTAGAATGAGATATCCTTAATCCCGATTACTTAATCTGAGTATCCAATGGACACACTTTTTATTTTCTTTTTAAACCGTTCTTTCTTGGATATAGTAGAGAAAGATCAAAAATCTGTTTTTTAAAATTAGAAAGTCCCTCCCGTTTTGTATATTTATATTAAATAGCGCGCAAATTTCAAATTTATCAGCTTCATATATATGCGACTTTGATTGATTGAATTTTATACACTTTTCAAGATACAAGTACAAGATTCTCGATTTTAAGAAAAAGAGAGGATCAAGCATTAATCTCGATATCCACCATTTTAAAGTTTTCAGCTCTGATCGAACAATAATATAAAAGATCAAACAAGATTTAAAATCAATATTAAGAGTAAGATGACTATAGATTCTCAAATGATTTTTCAAATTTACAAAAGAAAAAAATAGAAAGTATTTTTAAAATATAAAAAGTGATGAAAATTGAAGCATTAAATAATTAAATTCTAAGAATGTTTAATGAAGACTCTGGACACTGGTCCTGTCTCCTAGTTCCTAGTAACTCTGCGGAGAATAAAACGGTTACAGTTTCCTTACTCCGGGATACTCTTAACACACAGATTCATCTGGATAGGACTGAGTTAAACCTTACTCAGGAATATTTTATGATAGGATATATAAACTTTACACACTAGATAATTCAGGTTTACATTCTCTTATACATACTCTTATTCAAAACTGACTTAGAGACATATTATTAACAAATATATTGTTATTGTACATATATATATGTATATTGTATATGACCAATAACAATATATTTGTTAATGATATGTCTCTAAGCCAGTTTTGAATTAATATATATATATATATATATATATATAGTTCCTTATAAATATGCAATACATGATATGAGATAGCAAATATTTCATGTAAACTTTGAACTTTGAAGTAATGTTATCCATTCGCGCTAAATGTTGTATAAGAAAAAAAAATCAACGTAAAATATAATATTTTTTCTCAAAGAAATTGAGTCTTGGTGGGGCCAATTTTCCAATTTTCTAATCCCTATATCGTTGCAACCTTATCGGTTATTTAAACCTTTGATATTTCAATATATAAATCAGAATTTATGCCAACTACTCAATTCCTTTATATCAGATTAGATTGTAATTTGTAATGATAACAAATACGTACACAAGATTAATATAGCTGAAATCTCTTGTTTTTTTTATTTTCTAAAATTTACAGAAAATGGGACTAATGAATATTATAGATACTTTGTATAAAGGATAGCTCAAATAAACATTATAGGATCAGTATTAAAGAGAATGACTGAGTTAAGAGTTCAGTATAATAGAACAAATTGATAGGATTCATAGTATACATATATACAGAATTTTTTCTATAATTTTTCTTTATGTATAAGGCCGGAAACTCGAAAGTCAAATAATTTCAAAAAATCGAATCTTTTGAACGAATTTACATTCTAACATTACAATTATAGAATTTAAAAATGTTTTATAGATATGAAAAGAATCCTGAAACCAAATTTGAATTACAGTCTCCCAAACACACAATCTGGAGTAATTTTTTCACCTTTTATTTGAACATTCTGTTGTTTGTTTTTCATGTTTATTTTTTCATTTGTTTGTTTTCTTATTGCTTTGGTTGTTTGCGTTTAATTTGCGTTTATCTTGGTTTGCCCAAGGTACTAATGCAAGGAAAGTTAATTGCAGTCGCGTATACTCTGCGTACATATTGAAACCAGTTCTCTTTGGGCGGAATTTGTAAACAAGAATAGATGCATCAGTGTTCGTCTAGTTTCCGAGGAGGATAAAAGCATTGAATTTTGATAATTTTAAAAATTCACATAATAGTTTCCTAAGACCAGAATATTTCATAGATTATTTTTGGGAAAATTGATTCCATGTCAGGCTTCGACATCCTTCTTGTGTTTATTTTCCGCCCAAAGACAGTACACTGCATTAAAAAAAATGCGTACACCTCTGAAATAACTTTCCTTGCATTAGTTCCTCGGGTTTGCCCAACAATTTGTTTCAATGACAATATCTTCTCGTGGAAAGCATTGAAAAAGACTTAACCGTAGTAGTGTTGCAACTCGGTCATTGGCATCTTTGCATGGAGGGCCACTTGAAATTACGCTGTATACAGTCTCTTTAATCCCTTTAACTAATTTCAAGTGACCCTCACATGTAAAACTAACGAGGAAGTACATTCTGTCATATTTTGATCTCTAGTTCAAATTCCGTGCAAAATATTGTAGAAGACTTTATAAACTTTAATATTTAGTCCAACAAAAAAGAATAAATAGCAAATACTTATAATCTTAGTTAAACTTATGAAAATGGGTTCCAAAGTTAAAGCTTCACTAACTTACCGTATTCATTTTAAAGAGTTATAAAACAATACTCTTTAAAAATTATAAACAGGGTGTCCCAGAAAAAAACATGTAGCCAGACAACTTTAAGTTCGTCGTTGATTTTTGAAATACGTTGCAGCATTTTATTAGTAAACATTATTTTAAAAATCACACAAAAACTCTAGTCCTGACATTTCCAAACGTGATCTTGTTTTTTTGTGCTTTCAATATTATATATTTTATTATGTCAACTAAACCCTAGATGAAATTTAAAAATGTCATCTAAACCCTAGATAAAATATATAAATGTCAACTAAACCCTAGATAAAATATATAAATGTAAACTAAACCCTAGATGAAATTTAAAAATGTCATCTAAACCCTAGATAAGATATATAAATGTCAACTAAACCCTAGATAAAACATAAAAATGTCAACTAAACCCTAGATGAAATTTAAAAATGTCATTTAAACCCTAGATAAAATATACAAATGTCAACTAAACCCTAGATAAAATATATAAATGTCAACTAAACCCTAGATAAAATAAATAAATGTCAACTGAACCCTAGATAAAATATTAAAATGTCAACTAAACCCTAGATAAAATAAATAAATGTCAACTAAACCCTAGATAAAATATTAAAATGTCAACTAAAACCTAAATAAAATATAAAAATGTCAAGTAAACCCTAGATAAAATATAAAAATGTCAACTAAACCCTAGATAAAATATAAAAATGTCAACTAAACCCTAGATAAAATATAAAAATGTCAACTAAACCCTAGATAAAATAAATAAATGTCAACTAAACCCTAGATAACGTATAAAAATGTCAACTAAACCCTAGATAAAATATAAAAATGTCAACTAAACCCTAGATAAAATTAAAAAATGTCAACTAAGCCCTAGATAAATATAAAATGTCAACTAAACCCTAGATAAAATATAAAAATAGGGAGAAGAAACTAATGTGACTTGTCACGTGCACTCAAAGGTAAAATATTTATCAATTTATTCAGAATAATTAAAAAATATTTTTTTTTTAAATACGTTTGCAAAGAAATTGAGTCTTAGCCACAAATTCTGATTTCTTAATCCGTAAAACTTTGTAGACATAAGATAATTCCAACTATGTTAGATCCAATAATTCAAGTTTGAAATATCAATTTTTTACACCTTCAGGTTGCAAAGATATAAGCATTAGGACTTTAAATTTGTGGAATAGACTCATTTTCTAAAGATATTCAGGTTTAGATAAAAGAGGCTTACATAGTACTTTTTTTAAATACTTTAAGCTTAAAAGGCGTATTTGGTTTTTATTCTAAATAAATTTGATTAATGTAAATAAATTCTGTAGGGCAAAATAACAAAAGTTATAAAAAAAAACTCTGTAGATTTTTTTCACTATAATATCTAGACAATTCTGCAAATGATTTATCAAATTTGTAGACTTTAACGCCTTGGTCTTTGGTTTTATCTTACCAACTAAATAATACTTTTTGTAGCACTAGGCTAATGCATTTTTGAATTGCAACGTGCATGTTATAAGTTTTAAAAAAGTTATTGGAAAAATTGTATGTGTTTAAACCTGAACATATGTATAAATACAGGAGACATTAGTTCTAAAAAGATTTTTTGGCCCATTTCTAACACTGAGTGTTAGAAATTGGCCAAATCGCAGTTTTGAACTTATTTTCCCTGTAATAAAGTGTTCAATGTGAACATGAATTTTATACAAATTCATGAAACCAGATTAGTTTCATTTAAATAATTAAATATGTACTTTACTAATTTCCCAGTATTTACAGGGAAAACATTATCCTCATGAATAATATATAAACTTGTTTATAACATATGAAACATCTCAATTAGAAAGAAATAAACATAATTCAAATAATTCGTTCTGTCTTTTATCATTACTCCATAATAGACTGTTAAGAAATAAATAACTATTACTGGTTGCTTTAATTAAATTTTATTTTTAGCCAAAAAATTTACTTTTTGTAATACACAATTCAGAGCACAAAGTTTTGAAGTAATATATTTATTTAGAATTAAATTGGAAAGAGTTCATCACAAAGAACAATAAAATGAAGAACCCATTATTTTGGATTTGATAAAAATTAAATCATTCAAATATTCAAGGTTCGGAGTTTTCCTACATTACTCTGGAGAGGAGCAGGAGCTGGATTAAACACTGTTAATGCTAATCTATCCTACTCCCAGGTATTCTAGAGTTTATCTAGATTTGAAATCCTGCAAAATTATAAATTCCTAAAACCCTAGAGTGGCTGTATCGTGGTATTCAGTTTTGATCTTAAGAAAGTCTTATATAAAGTATATGTATAGTAAACTCTGTTTGTTTGTTTGTATTTACGATCATAACTCAGATACCCCTTAATTGATTTGCCTCAAATTTGTACTGAGGAACTGGGTAGGGAACCCCAAGAATGTTTTTAACTTGGCTTATAAGTTCTTTGTTGAATCTAATAAAGAAATCTTTGTTTCAATGCAAAGCTGGCTTCCCAAGTTACTATACAAATAAGTTAGAATGTGTAGGGTACTCTTAAAAGTGTACTGCATCGTTCTGTACTGTTTATTTTACTGTACCTCATGAACTGTACAGGATGGGATTTCGTACTGGAATCTGACAAGTACAGTACAGTTAACTGCAGAACTGAAAACCAGGCAATTTTATCTCAATTTTTGTAAACTTAAGAAAACTTCTGAAAAGTTTATTTTATTTTTCAGATTGACTATTTCTTAAAATAAGGATTACAAGTGACAAAAAAGTAAAATATATAAAACAGTCCCTTTTAATTTTTAAATAAATAAAACAGTTTCTTTTACTTTGAAATAAATAAAACAGACCTTTTTATTTAAAAAAAATGGATAAAATGTTGTTTAAAGTTCGTTTATTCAATGTCGTGTGGTTCTGTTCGATGATCTGGGCAACCAGGATATACAACAAACACCTCAGATAAAGGTACAACCAGGATATACAACAAACACCTCAGATAAAGGTACAACCAGGATATACAACAAACACCTTAGATAAATGTGCAACCAGGATATACGACAAACACCTCAGATAAAGGTACAACCAGGATATACAACAAACACCTCAGATAAAAATACAACCAGGATACACAACAAACACCTCAGATAAAAATACAACCAGGATATACAACAAACACCTCAGATAAATGTGCAACCAGGATATACAACAAACACCTCAGATAAAGGTACAACCAGGATACACAACAAACACCTCAGATAAAAATACAACCAGGATATACAACAAACACCTCAGATAAAAATACAACCAGGATACACAACAAACACCTCAGATAAAAATACAACCAGGATACACAACAAACACCTCAGATAAATATACAACCAGGATACACAACAAACACCTCAGATAAATATACAACCAGGATACACAACAAACACCTCAGATAAATATACAACCAGGATACACAACAAACACCTCAGATAAATATACAACCCGAATCAAGAACAGTTTTCGTTTTAAGTTTGAAACAATTTTTTCAGTTTAATATTCTTAAAAAAGTGTCTTCTCTAATTTATCTTTTAACTGGATTGTAAACGTCTTTTCAAGTCATCCTTCGTGCAAATAAATTCTTAAAAGCTTGTTGGGTGATCAAGTATGAATCAGATACCAGATATAACTGGTCATTATCTTTTTATTTTCTATTCAAAATTGACTTGCGCATTTCTACTGCATAAATGATCAGATATGATCGCTTGTAAATTTAGAAAAGTTAGAATATCTTCCACATTATTGATCAGATAAAGGTTTGTAGAGGGTACCGTTGTGAATTGGGCATTGCCATGTTTGAATAGAAGATTTTCTTTTACTGTCCTTTTAACCTCCCTATAAGTGCCATGTAGACTGTAGAGTAGATATCAATGTTTTTCTCTAAAGGCAATGTTAGAGATAAACCGGAAAAGGGTTCAAATAAAATACTTCCCGCGGTTTAATTAAAACCTTCAGCAAAGTGAAGATAACAATTTCTATTGTCATCTTTTGCTAGGAACTATCTCAAATTAATTATATGAGCAAACTTTGTTTTGCCTTTTTTGCTTTCATACCCAGACATCGACGGAGGAAAAAACTTATTGATCCTTAGTTGATCCAGTGAGTGTTGTTAAAACCTATAGAAAATTAGTTTTCCTGCATTATTTTATCTTATCTAACTTTAATTCTCCTATCTTTGCAACTTGATGATGTAAACCTTTAATTGTCAAAGGTTTACACCATCAGGTTGTAAAATTATCGGGGTTGAAAATTTTAATTTTGAGGCGACATAAGTTTACAAATAAAAAATTCTCTAACCTAGATTTCCTAGTTTTCAATTAAAAAACTTCCCTTGGTTTAATGAGCATCCGGCCCTGCAGCTGAAGCAGCAATAATTTTCTAATACTTTTTCTAAGAAGATTTTACAATCGGTTTAGTATCTAATAAACTAGAATAATATTTCAAGCTCTGAATTTTGTGTGAACAAGTATTCAAAGCCTGCACTGTCGCAAAATTACAGATGAATAACAAAATTAAAGAAATTGATTCTTTGCAACATATTTAAATTTGTGCATCCCTATATCTTTGCAACCTGATAAGTTTAACCTTAGATGTTTCAAACTTTTATTTTATCTAAAGCAGAATTCATAGTTTGAAATATCTAAGGTCTACGATCTAGGGTTGCAAAGGATTAGAACATCATAGTTTGTGGCAAAGACTCAAATTTTTTACAGGGAAAGTATTCAATTAAAGCTTCCCATAATTTAATCTGCCTACGGTAGCTTAAGGAGCAACAATGTCTACCATTAACTTTTCCAGGAAAATTTTTTTAATCGATTCTTTTGAAAATCTTTGATATTTCAAGCTCCGAATCCTGCAAGTCCAAATAGTCAGGTTCAGATTGATCAGAAAATTAGCTTCATATTTATCAAATAATAAATGATTTTGAGCGGGTAGATGTGATTAAGTTGGGTTTTTTGCTTCGTTTTTGCCGATATTTTTTTTTCAGGATCAAAGTTCGGAATAATCTAAGGAGAGCAAATGTTTTCTAAATTGTTCATCGTAAACACTTTTTTTCTTCACAATATTACATTATGACTCCGACAGAAAATATATGCAAAAACGCAAAAAAAATTTCTCCATTTTGCAAAGTAAACTTTAACAGAACACAGTTTTGAAATCTTAGAAATCTTAAATTAAAAAGTTTTTAAAAACGAAAGAAAACAATTAACAACACTATCAGCCTGATTAATTTAATTGTTTGGTTAGGTGAGTGTGAACCCTACTCCGGTAGGACCTGGAGACCGTAGGTTCCAGGACTGGGAGCTAGGATTACTAGTTGGTATTCCTCTTCTTCTCATCCTAATCCTAGTTCTAATCTTTATATTCTGTATCTGGTTCAATAGTATTCTCTGCTTCAGGTACAGGGTGTCTAAATAAATATTTTCTTAATAAACAGGTGTCCTAAAAAAGGTAATTTATTGAGAAAAAGGTGTCTCCCAATTAACATGATCACTGTAAATATGTTCCAATAAACATGATCATTTCTTGAAAAACAAATATGTGCCAATAAACATGATCATTTTATGAAAAACAAATATGTCCCAATAAACATGATCATTTCATGAAAAAAAAATATGTACTTATAAACATGATCATTTCATGAAAAACAAATATGTCCCAATAAACATGATCATTTCTTGAAAACAGGTTTGTCCCAATAAACATAATTATTTCTTCAAAAAAAACGGATGTGTCCCAAAAAAAGACCATTCTTTGAAAGAAAGATATATCCTAATAAAAGGGGCTTTTCTTGAGAAAAAAGTGTGTCCCAACAAACTTGTTCATTCGAAAAAAAAACAACTGTAGTTTCAATAAACATGATCATTTTTAAATACATGTGATGATGTGGGTTCCAAGAAATATATTTTTTTAATACAGGTGTGTCAATCAATTAGCATTCTTTAAAAAACAGGTTATTAATAATGTTTTGCCTTTATCTTACTTTTGTAATAAAAATAAATTATTACTAAACATTACAAAACCATTTTTCAATCGTATCAAGCACGAATGCAAATACGAAAACGCGAAGTATTTCTGCTTGATTAATATAAGTAAAAACTAAAAAAAAATTTTTTTTTGTATCTCACGTTTTTTTTAAATATTGAAGAAAACTTTGTAAACTTCTCTCAAAGTTTCATGTTTAATGAGACGCAGTGGTTACCCTGGAAATTATTTAAATTAATTAACTTCGTGACAATTTTAATTTATTTCATGGTTTGGTCAGTATTTGCAGAAGGGATTTGATGACTATAATCAATTTTTAAGTCGCAAATTTTTTTATTGTACTCCAGAAAACAAGAGTTCTCGTAAATTTTAAAAATTGTAACAGTCAGCATTTTTCAAGGCAGGTCACGGGGATTTAACGGTTCTGTCAATATTTCAGAAAGATGTGACTTTCGATCACAATTTGACCCCTTATACATAATTTTATGGCCTTTTTTCTAAAATACTTTTATGTCGGCATATACATTTTGAATGAAAAAGTATAAACAACACAAATCCGTAAATTTAAAGATTGTTGAATTATAGACCTAAACACGTTTGATTTCAAATAGAGGAAACCGAATGCTTCTCTCTCTGGTTAGTCTGGTGCAAATAGATTATCAAGTACAATAGGTGGCAACAGAGAAATGAACCAATTATACACATCGTCACAAGTGTCAAATATAACAAGGAAAACGAAATTAGTTGAAATGTTTTCCAAGATTAAATAAAAAAGTGGAAAAAACAGAAACTAAAAAACACATAAAATTGCACTTACTTTACTGTAAGAAAATCACTTTATTCTAAAATTATCACTATTATTGATAATTTTGTCGGACGCAAAAACTGAATTGACACTTGTGACGACAGAATACAACTGTACTGAGAGTGTACAAATTCTACGTTGCCATCTATTGTATTAGAATCTGGTTAGTCTGGTGTGAGGTAGACTGTCTGAGCCAAATAAACCTAAAAAAAATTCAAAAGTTTAAATTCTTTTTTTTTAGGAAAAAGGATGAAAAAGATGAGAATGCTCCGAGGGTTTATAATCTAGAAAATGATAAAACCCTATCCCAGGATTCCCTGGGAAACCTGCAGGATTTAAAACCTACTATTCCATATCTCAGGAAAATTCTTCAAACCATATTTATTTAATCTTAGATAATAAAAACTCAAGAAAGGTACATTTGCCTTTTGTAAAGGGATTGTAACCTTTATTTGAATTGATTCCATATTTAAAAAAAGAATGGCGAATAGCATGTTGGATTCATTACAATATAGTACCCTTGAAAAAGAGTCTAAAAAATATAACCCGTTTTTTATCTAAAAATTGATTATTTTTTATAGCGGCTTTTCTATAAAAAACTTGCGGGTTAATGACGTGTCTGAAACTTAATAAAGAAATTATAAACTGAATTCAATTAATTCTGTTTATCAGCGATATCTTTCTCATTGTTACTCATTGTTGATTTTGTACTGTTGTGAATCGGACTCGGAGCGTCACTTGAAATTACGCCACCATTCCCTTTAACTGTGACGTATAATCATTATTTAGAGGTTTGTTTACAATCTTAGTTATTCTTTTGATATAACAAACGTCCTAACCAGTGGCGTAAATAAGGGGGGTTATGGGGGTTAAATACCCCCCCCCCCTAGAATCCTGGGGCCCCTAGAATATCTTTAAAATTTGCACGAAAATAATTCAAATGTGCAGATACTTCAAACTTTGAATTATTTTATTAAAATATTCTAAGTTTGAAATATCAAAGGTTTACACCACTCGGTGCAAAGATTTAGGGATTAGAAAATTTGAGTTTGTGGCAAAAACTCAGTTCCAAATCTAGAGAACATTCTGGCAAACTTCTAACTGATTATCATATTTGATAACCTGTTTATCTTCTTTAAACGAACTTCTATAAAATCGTAAATGAAATAAGATTAGAATGTTGGTGAGAATGATTATTCATATATTCAATAACTTCAGGAGAAAACGTAACATTATCTGTCCTTTTTCAATTTAGATGATTAAAATTATTATTTTGATGTATTTTTTTCAAAATATATAAATGATTATTTCTTGTAATTATATCTGTAATTAAACAAGGTATTTTCTTTGGCGCTCCGCGCACACATGAAAAGAATTGACTGACTCATATTGTTAATTTTACAGCTGTTGAAAGTATAAATGTTTTTAAAAACAGAAGAAAAGAAAAAGTTTTAATTGAACACAGCCAAATCTGCATGCAACAACTGAAAATTTCCTTTTTTCGTCTTAACAATCCTAATAATAGAACATCACAGTAAAATGTTATACACAAACCTCCCTAAACACATTGGCCTTACTTAAATTTGAAAACTTGTCATTTTTTTTGTTGCCAATTTCAGAAAATGTCTTTTTTATGACATCTAAAATTGTACAATTTTGGTTGGTTTTACAATTGTTTAATGTTTACAGAGAACAGTATACTTTTACCTCTTCAAATATTATAAAAGGCGTACTGAGTAAATCACAATAATGTGGAACTAACATCTACTTATTTTACTCTACAGAGGTTTGGTCCATCACCATCACCGAATTTTAAACAAAAAATCACAAAACTAAATCTTGCTACTATTATATCCAAGAAGATTAAAAAGGAAATTTTTAAGCGTACATATAAATACTTGAGAGCAATTCTAAATTAAGATCAACATCCGTGCTGTAGAATGTAGATACTTAAATGTAAGCTTAATTTCAATTGATCCTGCAAATATGGCAGTGTCCGATTCACAACAGTACCCTTGAAACCTTGACGTTTTTCTAGATAATACTTTCAACTGTAAATCGGGCCTTGTCATCTTAATGTATAATATTTTTACAAACTCTTTAATAAATATTTGAATGTGGATTGAAGAAAAGATTGATCAGGATAACACCTACAGCTGATAACCCGGAGAAGAATAATGGAACCTGGAGTGGATCATATCTCTCTACAGACTCAGAGAGTCAGAGTACACAGCTATCCCAGGTAGAGATTAGGTTTTTTTTAAACGATGTAACCCTGGATACACTAGAATAGATCGCTAATACCAAGGGTGTAAGGCAAGGAAAGTTATTTGCGGTCGTGTATACTCTGCGTGCATATTGAAACCGGTTCTCTTTGGGTGGAATTTGTAAACAAGAATAGATGCATCAGTGTGACTGTAGTATCCGAGGAGGTTAAAAGCATTAAATTTTGATAATTTTGAAAATTCACATAATAGTTTCCTATGACCAGAATATTTCATTGATTTTATTTGTGAAAGATGGATACCATGTCAGGCTTTGACATACGTCTTGTGTTTACATTACCGCCCAGAGACAATAACTGCAGTACAAAAGATGTGTACACTTCTGAGATAACTTTCTTTGCATTACATCCTTGGCTAATATCGACCTTCAATTAAATAAATTGTATAATCCCTGAGATGGTACAAGTTATTGTATACAAACAAAGTTGTGGGGTGAAAATTGTAGATAAAATTTTAAAGTATAATTTCATTATTATTATAGTTTTTGACCCCCCCCCCCATTCTCTCATATTCAGGGGTGGAAACAACCCATTAAGAGATGGAGTTTATAGAAAATATCGGAAGCCTCCCTCGCTTACAATGCATGAAATGCATCCATGGACATATTTTTTTGCTATCTGAAATATTTTAATATTTGAATTATAAATAACCCCCAGACAAAGTTATTTCGCCCAAACAGTTTTCACCAAATTTTTGCGATTTTGTATGATAAAGGATTTGAGTCTTTGCCACACATTCAGTTTTTGTAAACCTGATATCTGTGTAACCTTATGATGTAAACCTTTGATATTTCAAACTTACATTATTTGATCTAACAGAATTCAAAGTTTGAAATATTTAAGGTCTACGAAATTGGGTTGCGACGATATTGAATTTAGAAAATCAGAGTTTGTGGCAAAAACTCAATTCCACATTTTATGGAAATCACTTTAACATACAATTTACAAAACAAAAATGTATAGGTTTTTTTCTAGAAATTTATCTCGGGTTTCTAGATTTGGTGCGAGGTATCAGTAGATATAGCATAGTTTTTCTATTTTAATTTGGTGGGCCACTCATTTTACCTATCCCACTATATAGTTGCACTACGAGTTTTTATAGATTCTTAATAGTTTATAGACATATAGATTGGCGCCCCCCTTTTTTATTAACAGTTTTAACCTTTTTTTTACAGGCAAAACTTTGACCTTCCCTGGGGTCATTTGAGTTATAATAAAAAATTTAGGTCCTATCGGTTCAGTCGTTTTAAAGTTTATTGGATGAAAACCGACAAATAAAATATCGACAAACAAAAGCAATGATGTATATCGCTTTTCATCTTATTCCATTTTTTTAATAAATTGTTTATTTCTGATCTTAATTCACGAGTAACCATTACTGTTCAGCTCGTCATAGTTTATACATTTATTTTATTCTGATTTTCCATTGGTGTTGATTGGATATTATGAATTCAGATCTTATACTAGTAATTTGTATATACTTTTTTAGGGCCCCCTTTCCTTCTCTCTCCCCTGGGACCCCTACTCAGGGTGCCCTGACACCCCTGCGGTATTCTCTTACGAGGGTTCAGATAGAATAGGCTCCGGAGACCTTTCTTTTCTCTCAGCCACTTCTTCCGAGAACCTGGAGAACCTGAACCTGGGAGAACAGTTCCGTTCTCTAGGTTCTCCGTTCTCCCATCTAGCATCGCTATACCGGAGTAACGATTCGTCCTGCTCCGAGAGTGATGAACCAGTGTATAAACCTAAACCTAGTAAACGGGGAATAAACAATAAACCTTCCAAAGATATAAAACCCCGGTCAGAAGAGAAAGTGCGTCCAAAAGCAACTCAACCTACACAACGAGGACAAAAGCAATTGATTCAGCTTCCAGAAAGTTGGGTTTGATCATGATAAAAAAGAATATGTTTATTAAACATTTATAAGACATTCAAAAAATATTTCTTATATAAAAACTGTTAGTAATATTTAAATAAAGCAATATTTCTAAAACACAAAAGTGGAAAACAATATTAAAAACATATCAAGTTAGTTCTGTCTCTATTTTCTTAAATTATTTGAGTTAAAACAGATTAATTGTAATTTGTGAAAACTATTTTTTATTCAATCAATTTTAACCCTTAAGTTTACCTATTGGAGCCTTTAAAAACTATTCCCGATTTTTTAAGACTTTTTGTTCCACATTTTTAACTAGTTAAAACTTGGATGAAAAAGTCAACTTTTTTTACTATTTTTGTTCCAAGTTTTTTACTAGTTCAAAACTGGAATAAAAAAGCCGACTTTGTTACGACTTTTTGTCCCAAGTTTGTGAACTAGTTTTTAAAAGTTGACTTTTATCCGACTTTAAAGTCGACTTTTTCTAAACTAGTTTTAAACTCGTATTCCATCGCAGTTCTCTTCGCTTCGGTATGTTTGGTTTAATCAATCTTAAACTATTTAATCTCTCAAAATTACATTTCAAATTTTTTTAATTTTATATAATAAATTGAATTTAAAAAAGAGCAATTTATCTAAAATAGAAGTCCGTGCCTATGTATCTAAATGCATTTTTGCTAGTTTGACCACTTATTTCACGTACTCTAATCCGGAAGTGTTAAGTGTAGTTTATTCTACTAAACGTACCTAGTTCAATTACTTCTCACCTATGATTTTGTAAACCAGAGGAATGGGAAATGGACCATTTTGTAGATATCAATATTTTGTTATATAATTTTGTTTCACTTTCGTTTTCTTTTTTAATTTGTATGTCTTTTAATTCAGAATCTACTAAAGTGTGTAGTGACTAACAAAAAGGAGACGTTGAGTGGTGAGGTTCGGAATTGGAACTGCTCAGTGCTTAAATTTAACTCTAGTGCCCTAATCCTCAAATCTTTAGAACGAATTCTTCAGAACTATTTGTCAACGGTTAAAATATTTAAGGTTTACGCCACCAGGTTGCACAAATATATTGATCGCTTCTGAAGAAAATCTTGTAAATGCATCCATTGTCATTTTGTCATCAACGAAAGATTCGAATAAAATTATTACTTTTATAAAATTCAGACCTTACATTATAGATTAACCCAGATTAACCTGACATGGACCTGAAAGGGACCCGGAACTAACCAGGACAAGATGCGTTCGGTTTTTTTATTTTAATTCCAACGAATGAAAACTTTCGCGAAAAACTGCAAAAAAAAACGCGTTCGTTCGTATTTGGCAATTTTCTTTTCGCGAAATTTCTCTTTTTTGGGAAAACGAATCAAGGGAAAAAAGTGCGAAAAAAGTTTTCGCGAATATTATTTCGCAAAAAAAATTTCGCGAGAACCACAAGTGATGTAGCTGCAATAGCGCAAAAAAACCTAAAAAAAGAGGAATTTTCTGCTCTGAGTGCTCGACATTAGACGTTTTATTATATCATAATTAATAATTTCTGTTCAGTATTTTTCTCCTCAAAATTTAATTTTTCGCATTTTTTAGCGACACAGATTAAAGCGAAATTTCGCGAAAATCAAAGTATTTTTCTAAAGCGAACGAAATGTGAAAAAATGCGAAATTTTCGGCGAACTTGCGTAGTTGTTTTTTATACTTTTTCATTAAAATTCGTAGACAAAAACGTAAATAGGAAGAAAATCAAAAAAGTGTGTTTATAATATATATAAAATATATAATAAATATATATAAAATAGGCCAAATTATGATCCAAAGTCATAGAATGCTGGGTGATGGACCGAACCGTTATATGTTTGCAGGAAAGTAATAAGAGAGTTCTTTTTAAAGGAAGGGTTTTCTTTATTACAAATCTATTTTTTGAAAATTAGTATGAGGGGAGGTTAACAACTCAGAATTTTTTTAAAAAGGCCTTTGTTTGTTAAAAAAAAGCTAACCTTCCCAAAAAAGAATGTTATTAGAAAATCTAGATTCTAGATACTATCAAATGCTAATACTATTAAGTGGATGGAAACACAAATTGTAGAAACATAATATATTTTATGTTAATAGTTGTTTGTGGGTATTTCTTATATATTTAGTCATTTCTTATTGTATCAACGTTGTTCTTCCATAAGGGGAAACTTGTGTTCTAGTAGTTTTAATAATAGTTTTGGTTTATTTTTAAAAACTTTAAAAAAAAACTTTAAAAAAATGGAAAACGAACCAAAGAAAACTTTCGTTGTTAGCGTTTTTTTGCGTACATTTTCTATCATGGTCAATGGTCATCGTGTAAAAAAGCAAAATTGTTTAAAATAATTAATTTAAAAACATTTAATTTTCTTACCAAAAACAAACCAAAAATGAACCAAAAACTAACCAAAAACGAGCCATAAACGAACTAAAAACGAACCATTAACAAACTTAAAAAGAACCAAAAAACAAACCGAAAACCATAAACGAAGTAAAAACGAACCAAAAACGAACCATAAACGAATTAAAAAAGAACCGGAAACAAAAAAGAACCAAAAAAGAACCAAAAACGAACCAAAAAAACGAACCAAAAACAAACCAAAATCGACCAATAAACAAACTAAAAACTAACCAAAACCAACCAAAAACCAACCAAAAACCAACCAAAAATGAACCAAAAACCAACCAAAAACGAACTAAAAAAGAACCAAAAAACAACCAAAAAAAACAACCAAAAACAACCAAAAACGAACCAAAAACGAACCAAAAACTAACCAAAAGTGAACCCAAAAAACGAATTAAAACAAAACACAAAGAACAGAGATCTTCACGTTGGCTGCTAAACCTTTGCCATGCAAAGTTTATTTCAGAGGTGTCACTCTGTCATTTGCGGATTCACAGTGTTCCAAGGGATGCAAGATATCTCGCAAAAATCGATGAGAATGTTGCCAATTTCTTGTTAAAACTAATGCTAAAACAAGTGGCTAATAATTCCAACATATGTAAATGTACAGAAATGAGAGAAAGTGAGGTAAAATCAATTACGAAGGCGTTGCAATACTTTTAAGTTGACCAAGTCTTAAAACTGGATGCAACTTCATAGCAGTCTGGACCGATGTGGATTCAATATTTAAGGTTTCTTCGATTTCAGACTTGAAACCAATGGCTTAGCTATGGATATCGAAAACAAACAAAAAAAATCTCAACTTCTTAATTTTCCAACCTCAACAGTAGGTCAGATGATAACATTATTATTTGACCAACCAAAACGCTGCAAAAAGATGGCTGATATTTCAAAAAAATAAATTGTGATTTTTCCACTTTATTTTATTATATATTATAAATAAAAAGTTAATCAATGTAATAATATAATATCATACTGGGATAATCCCTTAAAATACCCCTCGGGTGATTGGTATTACAGAAATATCAAGAATATGGGGAAATTCTGAAAAAAAAGAAATGTTCAACTCAGAATTCCTGTTCTAAAAGAGACTGCCAACGTAAATTCAAGTTACCCTTTATTTAAAGAGGAGTGTGCGTCTTTCACAGATTCCTAACATTCCTTTGCCGGAAGTTATCCCTATTTATCTATCTGAAAAACAAAAGTTTCCAATTGTGGTTTTCTTGTGTATTTACGCAATAATGTCAATCAAATAAATCCGCGACATCAAAACTTTTCTAGAACGGAAACTACGAATTTTTATCCATTGTTGCTAAAATAAGGGTTTATAGGGTACTGTTGATGTATATTAAAATATAATACATAATAAAAAATAACAAGGAACTTGATAACTTTTCCCAAAATCTAGAAATTATGTTACATATACTCGTGACATGAGTATACATGATTTAAGAACTTTTGAACGCTAGTTTTTAGCTTGTAAACCTTCATTTCTGAACAAAAATGTCGAAGATATCTTTTTTTTCTTTCTGAAAATTGATAATTTCCAATCTAATTTATCTACATGCAAATATAGATATTGAATGAATTCAAAACTCAAACTTTTAAGAATAAATAATATAGATAAATATAGCAAACTAATTGAGCACAAAATTTGAGCAAAAATTTTTCAGATTCTCAGAAAAAATCGTAAATGTTTAAAACTGACCTTTTAAAGAATACCATACAAATATGAAACCAATGTTAAACTGAAACCTGTATGTATACCTTTGTATACTCCATGGATAAAACCTGTATGTATACCTTTGTATACTCCATGATTTAACTGTATTTTAAAAATACATCTATCTGATACGTAACCAGATTTGATCTTTTGTAGAGTAATAAAAATGTTAAGATTGCTGGACAAGATACAATTCAATTTTCCATAACATTTAATTTATCAAAATTTAACTGGTTCAGCTTTTAAAAAAAATATTTATTTTTTGACAAAATTTGACAAAAGCAATAGGCAAAAAACATGCTCTTGTGTTACCTAGGCAAAATGGTGCTCAAGGCAAAATGTTACTAGGCAAACTTTAACTAGGCAAAACTTAACTAGGCCAAACTTACCTAGGCCAAATGTGACTTGGCAATATGTAGCTGAGCCTACCCATGGGTTCCCTAAAAAAAAAATTCAGCCCATTTGGTCCAGCCGTTTGGAGGCCAGAGGGAACATATATATGAATATCTAATTTAATAAATAGATGTAGATTAAACATTAATTTTAAAATAACCTGAGTCTTGCCAGTCCTTTAGTGCTCCTAAATTTACAAGAATATGAACAATTTTGTTCATAATTAAACAACTATGGATTTTTTCAAAAATTGAAATCTTAACAATTTTTTGATTTTCATATCTCAATCCGGTAATTATAAAAGCATATTTTGGCAATGGCAGGTTAAGGTTTATTTCATGATTATTGTCCAGGATTGTCCTGGACACAAATGCATTCCTAAATAAAAAGACAATTTTTAAGTCGCCTCAAACTAAGATTTTATGCGGAAGCAAACTTTTGTGCAGAAATGCGAAAATTTGCATATTATCCAAATTTTTGCGGAAAATTCCGTGCAAAACTTAAGCTGCAGTTATAACAAAATTGAACAAAAAGCCTTTTACTACGTGGAAATATTGACTTAAATAGTTACCAGCATTATGCGAAAATTTTCGTCAAGTTCAGCACAAAATGCAAAAATTTTCGTGAAGTTTAGCACAAAATGCGGAAATTTTCGTGAAGTTCAGCACAAAATGCGGAAAGGAATTGAGTCTCTGCCACAAACTCTGATTTTCTAATCACTATATCTTTGGAACCAAATGTTGCAAACCTTAGATATTTCAAACTATAAATTCTGTTAGATCAAATAATCTGAGTTTGAAATATCAAAGGTTTACAACATTTAGTTCTGAAGATTTTGAGGTTTAAATATTTGATTTTGTTCCAAAGACTCAATTCCTTTGCACATTTTTCTTACGTATGGAATGTTTAAAAAGCCGGAATTAATAATCAGCTGTTCATTAACTGTTTCTAATTTGCAAACTATTAATTTTGAAAACGTTAGTGAAACAAATTAACGTTTTGTAACAAAGAACAAAGGAATGTGTTTAAAAATAAAATAATTTTTAAACTTATATTTGCATAACATTTACAGAAAAATGAAAATAAATTTATATATTTTGATGTTTTTTAACTGCTGTCTTCAAATTTGTCCAGCTATTTTTATTCGAATTGATCGTTATCGGCTGAACGATTGCCCAAATATTTTCAGCGAACATTAACCGTTAATATAATTTAGATCATTAACAAACAGTGAGAGATACACTAAAGGATCGAAAAATTTAGTTCTTGGATAAGGAACTAACGACTGTAAGTGCCAGATAAGTTTTGTTTTACAATTTTTAAAAACCATTAGTAACGAACATTTTTAAAAATTCTGAACAGTCCTATTCGGGGATGGTGTTAAGAAGTACGAAGAAATCATTGTGCGAGATACCCAATATCGTAATTTATCAATGGATGGAGATCTGGACTCTGGAGACCATCAGAGGGATTTATTTTCACTGGAGGGGTATGAAAAATCACTTTTAACAATTTGGAACTTTACAAA